ATCGATGTTATTATGGAATAAGACAAATAAATAAAGCCTTTTTTATTTTAGCAAAGATTTTACGTATTTTTGTTTTACTTATCGGATGTATTGGAATTTTATTTCTAAACCGATTTTATGTGATATAAGATAAATAAATAAAATAATTAAATAAAAATCTAGATATAAATAACAATGTATTAATTACATTGACTTTTCTACCTACTTAATTTGATACATAGAATACTTTATTATATAAGTATAGATATTAATTACTCTCAACCATTATCATTAATAATTTTTTTTAATTGCAATTATTTTTCCCACGCATGGTAACTTAAACGAAATTAATGAAAATAAATTAAAAATTAAAAAAATTACAACCAACTAAAATAATAAATAAGTAAAAAATCAGATGCTCCATCTCATGTCAACTCCTGCAAAAATAACAAAATTAAATATCAGTCAAAATAATTAATCATATTATCTAATTACAATTACAAAAGTTGATATAATTATTGTTCCGAAATCTGAAGATAGTAGGCGGGAATATGAAAGTAAAAAACGATGCGGGAATCCAAAATTTCAAAAAAATACTGTGATAATTCTTTATGTAAATTCCAAGCATCAACATCCCATATTTTTTTTCCTCATCTCATAACTCTAAAAATAATTAAATATTAAATATCCCATATTTTTTACTAATCTCATAACTCTGAATTGTCACGGTGAAAGAATCAATATCTCATATTTTTCTCATCTCATAACTCTAATAAAAATTAAATATTAAATGTTCTATATCTTCTGCAGATATCACTGTTGATGCTTGAAAATGTCAGCAACAAGGGGTGAACTGTACACTAAATTGTGTACTTTGTTCAATCTGCACGAATAGATTTGTTCCAGAAATATGGGTTGAGTACTTATTCTATTCATGGCTTTTTGAGATATATCGATGAATACATGTATTAAACCATCCGAAAAGCAAGGAAACAAAGAGATGAAGATGGAGCTCTTTTTCATTGATAATGCTTTGGCGGAAGAATGTTGCCTTTTTTTCTCGTACGAGATCTCGAATGAATAAGGTGAGATCCTCCCTTTGGATAGGATCTTTCAAGTACATATATCTATCCTATGTGGACATGAATAAATCATGAATAAAATAATACAAATGATATTTTAAAACGTTGGATTTTTATTAATCGTAGCTAAATTGGGTATCACCAATCACAATCCTAATAAAAATTAGGATATCAATGTGGCCGGTCAAATCAACTCTCTCATATTCTCTTCTCATCTAATAACTGAAATAAAAATTAAATATTAAATATCCCATATTTTTTTTGCAAATCTCAATACTCTAATAAAAATTAAAAATTAAATGTGGCTGGTCAAATCATCAATTAAAAATTAGAGGATGATTGGATATATTTTTTTTTTGGTTTTGTTTGAATTTTTTTGATTTGGTTTGGTTAATTTTAAAAAATGTGGTATGGTTAGTTGTTAGCTGATGTATTAAAATAATATTTAGAATAAAATAATTTAAGTTGATTTGATGTAAAAAGTAAGAGAGATAAATGGAAGTGATGGTTAGTTAAAATTATGTGAGAGGATAAATAGTAAATTAAATATGATGTGTTGTGTAAGAATAATAGATTGATATTATTTAATTATAATAAAATATTAATGATAGTGAGGTTGAGTTAAAGTTGAGTTAAAAAAAAAAAATTGGTTGAGTTAAAAATGATTGATTTTTTTTTAGATTGCTTTGTATCCAATCATGCTTACTTTTTTCAATCAATCATTTATTTAAATAGTAATTATCATTTTTATCAATCTATCAAATTAATTTATATTGATTGTTTTTTCCCATATCCTATAAAAATAGTCAACTAAATTGGCAAACACTCACTCCATTTCATACAACTCGAGCAGCACTTACGTTTTCAAAAAATCCTAATTTTCAAGAGTCAAGGCCAGTCACTGTCTCACGTTGGCTTACTATTGAAGAACTCTATATTTAGTCATGGACAGTTGTATGTGGCACTATCTAGAGTCAGGAATCGGAGGGTCTTAAGATAATGATTTGTGGTGATGAAGATTGTGACGAAGGGAAAACCACGAACGTTGTATATAAATAGTGTTTAATAATAGTTAGATTTAGTTTTTGTTGCTTAACTTCTTTTTCAATTATCATGTCATGATTTTTACAATTGTTTTATTTTTTCCCTCTATCATATAGTCCTCCGTGCAAATGCACGGGCAAAAAACTTTTTTTTTTT